TTCTTCCTTCCTTTCTTCCTTCCTTTCTTCCTTCCTTTCTTCCTTTTTTCCTCCCTCCCTTCCCTACTCTTCCCTCCCCTCCTCTCATTCCCCTTCCTTCCTTCCTTCCTTCCTTCCTTTTTTCCTCCCTCCCTTCCCTGCTCTTCCGTTCCCTCTTCTCATTCCCATCTTCCCATAAAAACATGTATTGAAGGTTTAAGCTCTGTAAAAGAAATCTGAGCTACTAATGGTCAAGTGGGAAGTAAGAGGCATTCAAAGAGGGCTGGGCATAGATCTCCTGTGGGTGTGCAGGTACTCATGATTTATGGTGCATTTCACCACTCCCTCTGGCCCAGCCTGGTCATCTCCTACAAATGGGATGTAAATACGAAAGCCTTGCAGGGAGATGGGTGGCAAACTACTTTAATGCATTAAAAAATTAAAGAAACCAGATAATAAACACACTGTTATATCATCTGAATTTGGGTAGCTTTTGGTTAGTTTCCATACAATCTCCATCCAGATTTTACGCCTAAAGATATGCTTGAAGTGGTTTGATTTGAAGTTGTTTCTGGACAGTGGTCTCTTTTTATACAGAGAAGGACATGCAAATTGAAAGACAGCCCAACCTTTAAATGTCTCCCTCCTTCTGACTCAAAGACCCAGAGATTGACAGAACTCTTGAGTTCAATAAACATATATTTCTCCTCCATACCATTCAATACAAAATGGTTATATGCGTGAATGTCATCCTGACCCTCTTTGTTTTTAAAGGTATTCTTCTTTGGGTTCCATAATATTGTGAGTTAGACTCAGATTCCTCCACAAGCTCTTCAGATAGCCTCTTGTGTCTTTCTTTTCAGATGTTCTGGCAGATGTTTCAATAACTGAATCAGGAGGAGGAGTGAAGAGTCCAGGAGATTCGCTTCGACTTACTTGCACAAGCTCTGGCTTCAATATCGACAGCCACTATATGGAATGGGTCCGCCAGGCAGATGGAAAAGGACTGGAGTGGATCGCGCGGATACATCAAAGCACCACGTATTATGCCAATTCTTTCAAAGGTCGAGTCACAATCTCCAAAGATAGTTCCAGGAACCAAGTTTATCTAGACATGAATGGACTGAAAGCTGAAGACACAGCCAAATATTCCTGCAGCAGGCAACACAGTGGAGAAAAATGAATCTGAGCTTGTGCTAAAAGCTACAGTTTTTGTGGCCCAAGGAAAGTTTCATTTGGATTCCCTCCAATGAAAAAGGAACCACAATAGGACTGGTTTAAATATATCACGAGCAATTGCTTTGGGATCTGCCACAGCTGTTTTAGCAAGAAGATGAACAGAGTAAAAAGGGACTTGATTTGCCTATGAACAGCATCTGAAAGAGTAATTTTGCTCATGATGGATCTTGACAGACTCGAACACAGCCCTATCTAACCAAATTATTTTCAATGTAGAAAATGTAAAATCTTAAATTTAGGCAAGAAAAAACAAAAAGACACATACAGATTGGGTGAATAGCAATAACCATGAAAGGGATCTTGCAGTCTTAGTGGACAACCAATTAAATATGAGCCAAAAGTGCCAACACAATCCTAAACTGCATCGACAGAGGGATAAAACCAAGATCATCTGAGGTACTAATACCAGTCTATAAAGGCTTAATAAGACAACACCTACGACTCTGAATCCAGTTTTGGTCACCACACTATAAAAAATAATGCTGAGATTCCAGAAAAAGTGCAGAGAAGATAAACCAGGATGTTTAGGGGACTGGAGACTACAACATATGAAGAACGGTTGCAGGAACTGGGCATGGCTAATCTAGTAAAGAGAAGGACCAGGGGAGACAGGATAACAATCTTGCAGCATTCTATTGTATGCACATCCTTGTGACAGTTGAAGATTTCATTCCAATGAATCTCTAGAAGAAGAAGAAGAAGAAGAAGAAGAAGAAGAAGAAGAAGAAGAAGAAGAAGAAGAAGNAAGACACAGCCAAATATTACTGCAGCAGGGAACACGGTGGAGAAAAATGAATCTGAGCTTGTGCTAAAACCTACAGTTTATGTGGCCCAAGGAAATTTTCATTTGGATTCACTCCAGTGAAAAAGAACCACAACGGAAAGCTTTAAATGTATCATGAGCAATTCCTTTGGGATCTGCCACAGATGTTATTTATTATTATGTTAACAAGAAGATAAGTAGTGTGAAAAGGAACTGGATTTGCATATGAACAGTATCTGAAAGAATTATTTACTCTTTCAGCCCAACTCCCCCAACAGAGAACATCTAGGACAGATCAGAAATTAAGTTTGCAGATTAATTTTCATAAAGCAAGTAGCTCTTTCCACATTGTTTATACTAACAAATAATCCAGCTCATTTTATTCCGTTGGATTCTAGGTATCTCAACTATGCTCTTGTTCTAGGTCACTGAGCTTAAGTCACATAATTTATTTCATCAACTCTCTGTAATAAATATAATTCTCAAGAAATGTACAAAAAGGGAGGGAGGAAATGTACACCTCGATGGAGGGAGAAACAAAATGCAATGGACAGGGAGAGTTCAAGTTGATAGATGTGGTGGGGACCATAACTACAACTGGTCCAAAGTTACCCAGCTAATTTTTCATGGCTAAAACCAGAGTAGAATTCAAACTCTTCTGGCCACTACATTAAAAACGAGGTCTCTAAGTAATGCTAAGACTGTGGTCTAGGGAGGAGGAGGGGGAATCGGGCAAAAATGATAACCAAAAAAGAAGTGGAAGTGCAAATCTGAGCCATGTTAACAATATTTCTATCCTTTGGAGCTAAAATTAGTAATAATTTATGCGTTGGAGTAGTCTGGACTGAGTCCAATGCAAGAAGAAAAAAAATCATGTCTCATTTTTGTGATTGGTTTTGAAATCTGGCAGCAAAAAGGGGAGGAAGCAACTGTCAACATCTATATTTCTTTCTTTTCTTTCCTTCTTTCTTCTCTCCTTCCTTCCTTCCTCCCTCCCTCCCTCCCCATCCCTCCCTCTTCCTTTCTTTTTTTCTTTACTTCCTTTCTTCCTTCCCTTCTTTCTTTCCTTGCTCTCCCTGCCTCCCTCCTCCCTGTTGTTCTTAAGTTAGTAACATGGTTGTTAAGTGAATCTGGATTCCCCTTATTGGCTTTACCTGTCAGAATGTCGCAAAAGCGGATCACATGACCTGCTTCAATGGTCATAAATGTGGTCACAGATGCCAAGCGTCTAAATGCTGATTAACATGGCTTTGGGGAAGCCACGATGGTCATAAGTGTGGTAAATGGTTATAAGTCACATTGTTGAGCGCTGTTGTAACTTTGAATGGCCACTAAATAATTTGTTGTAAGTTGAGCATTACAAATTATGAAAATTCTTTAGAAATTCAAGTGTGAGTAATTTAATTACAGGTTTGTGTTTGTTCAAAAAAGCAATATTAGGAACAATTCACTTTGAATTTGCAAATCTAATTGCTCCCCATGACTGTTCATTAGCCCTGCCCTTCCCTCCTCTTCCCTCCCCTCCTCTCATTCCTCTTCCTTCCTTCCTTCCTTCCTTCCTTC